CGCGGCCGCCAGCGAGCCGTTGTGGACGGCCAGCCAGACGGCGGCCAGGGTGCCCGCGGGGCGGCCGCAGCAGTCCGGCCTCCGAGTCGCGTGTGCGGAAGGCGAGCGAGAGGCCGCTGAACTCGTGTCCCGACGAGGCGTTGTGTCCGCTGAATGGGACGGGAGGGCCCTCGAGGAACGTGGCTTCCGCCACACCTGCGGAGAGCGGGAGCGTGGGTGAGGGCCTCCGGGCACCCACCCACCCACCATAACCCCTACACGCAGGGGATCCCATCTGCCGCCTCCACTCCCACCCATTGAGTGTGGGTGGAGGATGGGGAGAGGCAACACACAGCCACCCACCATCTAACCCCAGAATCTGCGGCCCCACCTGCACTTGCACCCCCTCCCAATCCCCTTCCTCCAGACTGCGCCCACCCTACCCTCCAGGGAGCAGACCAGGCAACAATAACCCCTCGAAAAATCTGCTGCCCCTTCCTCTCCCCTTTCCCTCCTCCTGAAGTTGCCTGGTCTCATCACCATCACCGAGGCCTACTCTCCACTGCAGGGAGTCCTTTTTTTTTCATGCAGATTTTTAAAAAGTCGACCATGCATTTTAATGAAATGCAGTCAGCTTTTTAAAATGCTAATCATGTCTTTCTCCAACTTAAAACCCTCCCGTGGCACCCCACTGCCCTTGGGAAGAAGTCCTGAGCTGTCTGGCCCAACTTTCAAGGCCCCTGGCAACCTAGCCATCCCATACCTGTACTTGTGTCAAATTGTTCTTCTAACCCTCAGGGCCTTTGCACATGTTCTTTCCCCTCCCTGATAGGCCCTTCCCTACGCCATGTCAGAGTTTTATCTGACCTTGAAAATCTAGCGAATGCTCTCTCCCTTCTAGAAAGCTTGTCCTGCTGGATGCAGTGGCCCAACTACAGGGGGCTGGAACTGTTGGCATCCTGGTCTACTGTGAGCCCTGAGGTTAGGGGTGGGGTCTAACCCAGCCTGAGTGTCCAGCACCCAGCATGGGGGGTGCCCAGGGCACACACTCACAGACAAAGCCATCAGGGACCTCCTCACAGGTGGCAGGCGGGAGGCAGGGCTGGCCAGGACACCACAGCTGCTGGGCACACGTGGGCCCTGTGAAGTTGGCAGGGCAGGTGCAGTGAAAGTCATTCCAGGTGACCAGGCAAGTCCCACCATTGAGACAGGGGCTGGGCTGCAGGAGAATCGGGACAGCGATTGGCTCAGGCCTGCAGTAGCATAACCGTCCCTGCACTGGTTCTTAACTGAGCACCTACTACAGACGCATTACCTCCTCAAACAAATGGAGTGGAAGTCACTATCCCCACTTTACAGATGAGGAAACTGAGGCTCAGAGAGGAGCAGCCATTTGCCTGAGTCACCCAGCCAGTAAGTAGAGGTTGGTCCAGGAGCAGCCCCAGGTGCGGCACAACTCCCCCCCCCCCCCGCCCCCCCGCCCCCGCCACCACCACCACATCAGCTAATAAAGTCCAAAACCCCACACCCAGAGTTCACACCCAGGCTCTTCCGATTCCAGGGCTGGTCTTTGTTCATGAGCCAAGTGGGTCCCTGTGTCCCCACACAGTTCCTGCACAGAGGCTGAGAGAGCCCTTGCCTGGGTCAGGGTGTCGGTCTCAGAAAAGGACCAGAGGGCCAGAGCAGCTGGGCCAGAGAGGAGCTGAATGCGAGCCCTTCGCTGCCCCTCTCTAACCGTGGCACCTTGGGCAGAGTGCCTTCCTCACCGGGAGGAAGACGTGCGGACCCAGAGGTGCAGGGCGGAAGAGGGCCCCACCCCTTTGCCAGAGCACTCACCCTGCACAGGTCCTCAGAGACGCAGCCCGCCGTGAGGTTCCAGGCCTGCCTGCTGCCCAGCTTGCGGGGCTGGCTTGCGTTCCCCAGCGGCAGCGGAAAGAAGGGGAGGTGGAGGCCATTGAGTCGCAGGTCCTGGAGGCAGCCGCGGAAGGGCCCACCCCAAGGCTGGGCGTCCGCAGGGAGGCGTCTCCCACCCACATGCACCTGCAGCCCCGAGCCCTGCAGCTGCTCAGACCCGAAGCTGAGTGTCACCAGGCGGCGGAGCCCATCGTCCCAGGGTCCGGGCAGCACCAGTGCAGGACCGCCCCGCACCTCGGCCCGGATCTGGCCCTCGCTCAGGAACACCGTCAGGACAGCTGCCGAGTCGTCGGCAAGCTGGAGCAGCAGGCCAGCAGGTTCCCGAGTGCGGAGGAGGAAGGACACCGTGAGGTTGGGGCCTGGCAGCCGAGGGACCAGGAAGGATGCAGAACTCAGGGCGCCCCCCAAGCCGAATGTGGCTGCAGGAACCTCTGCAGGGGGGAGAGGGGGCCAGGCATGAGGCATGTGGGCTAGGGGAAGGCACGGCCTCTGCCCTGGGGCCCACCTGGCTCACTCCTCACCATCAGCACATGTGGGTCCACTGTAGGGCCGGGGGCAGTCGCAATGGAAGTGAGTCCACAGGTCCACGCAGGCCCCTCCGTGGGCACAGGACAGAGGCTGACACTGCTCACGGCGCCTGCAGCCTAGGAGGACATGCTCCCCAAGATCTTCAGGCAGCAGGAGGTGCCCATCCACATGGACGTCCTGGAGGCAGCCTGCAAAGTCTGCACCACCCAGCTGGACAGAGCGGAACCCGGCAGGCGGCGTGGCCGGGGAAGCCGTAGGAGCCGGGGGCACAGAGCTGGAGGCCACACAGAGCTGGGCAGGGCAGCCTTCATGCCAGAGCCGCAGCTCCAGGACCTCGAGGCGGAGTGTCACCTCCACTCGGTGCCAGTGGTCATCATTTAGGGCCAGGTCTGGCAGCCTCAGGACTAGAACGGGACTGCCGTGGCTCCAGAGTGTGGCCTGAAGTGTGGCTGCCGCCAGTGCCAGCTCCAGCTCCAAGCTGTCCTGGCTATCAGTGCGAGTGGCCAGGGCACCAGCAGGTAGGGTGGTGCGAAACCTCAGTGCCAGACCCAGGGGCCCACCGGCTGGTACTGATGCCCGCACAGGGTTCCCAGCCACCATGGAGAAGGTGGTATTCTGGCCACAAGCAGGTCCGTGGGTACCAGGTGGGCAGCGGCAGACATAACTGTGGACTCCAGACTCAAAGGTAGGGATGCAGGTCGCAGCCAGTGGGCAAGTGTGGCCCTGGCAGCCAGTGAGCTGCACAGAACAGTCCTGCCCACCCCAGTCCTCCGGGCACCGGCAGGTGTAGCCTGCCGTGATGTCATCACAGGTCCCCCCGTGGAGGCAAGGCTCCGACAGGCATTCGTCCACTTCCTCCTGACACGTCAGGCCTTCGGGAGAGACCAGGCCAAGGCTCAGCACCCAAGGCCAGAACCACAGTCTGGACCCAGAGCTTCCCAGCTTCCTGGGACCGGGACCTCAGTACCTATCAACCAAACCGATTCCCAATTTCCAAAGGTTTTTCCGTGGCCCCTTGAGGTCCCCGGAGGCTGGAACCCGGGATACCCCTTTCTCTCCACACCCTGCAGATTCAATCCCCTAAATACTCTCCAATCTGCCACCCACCTCTCCTGCCTCGCCTGCCTGACTGCAGAACCCCTCTGCCAGCCATCTCCACAAGCAGCCAGAGAGCTGGTTCTAAAGATCACCCGCCAGTTCCTCTGCTGCCGAAGGTCCAATCACTCACCCTGGCATTCAAGGTTCCTCTTGGGCTGGGCACGACCGGGCACTCAAGTCTCAACCCTGCTCCCTACACACCTTGAACCGCCTGTTCCTCCGAGCTTTTCCTGCGAAGTCCTGCCTCTCGGTGGCTTTCTCTGACTCGCTGGGCACGACCGGGCACTCAAGTCTCAACCCTGCTCCCTACACACCTTGAACTGCCTGTTCCTCTGAGCTTTTCCTGCAAAGGGCCAGTCCCCTCGGTGGCTTTCTCTGACTCCCAACCCCAAGCTAGTGTGTCACTCCCAACTCCCTGTCCACATCCAGGCACAGCGACACAGAACTCTGTATTGAAAGTATCTGTCTGGGCAGCTGAGGTCTCCTCCAGGGGCTTGAGTATAGCATTGGCACCCAGCGAAGGGCCTAGCATGGCTTTGGTGGACAGAGTGATAAAAGGGAGGAGCAGGTAGAGGTGGGCATGCATCTGTGGCACTCCCGGTAGCCCCAGGCTCTAACCTCCCAAGGGGCCCATACAAGCTGTGAAGGGACCACCTCACCCTCCTTCCCAGAGCTCCCATGCCAGGTGCTCTGGCCCTAGCTTAGGTCAAGAGGCCACAGCCTAACCCCAGTTCAGCCCGAAACTCCACAAAACCACCAAGGCTAGCCCTGCTCCAATATCCCAGCTGGAGGGACATAGGCCCAAAGAAGCGACCAGGCTTTGAATCCTGGCCCGGTCAGCACACAAGCAGCACAGCCTCCTTCTGAGGACAGCTAGCTCCACCTCCCCTGCCCAGAGCCACCCTTCTCCATACCTGCCAGGAGCCACAGGCCCCCCAGGAAGGTCCACAGGGCCCGCAGCCCCATCGCATTTCCCCGGATGTGTGAGAGTGCTGGGCGGCCGCCGAGGCTGGGGAGCAGCGCTCCCGGCCTGGTCTGGCTGCCTCCTTCAGACCCGGCTCAGGAATGCCAGGCACTGGCCTCCCCCACGCCAGCATGAACCAAAGGGAGGATGGGGGTGGACAGTGGCAAGGAGCCCAGCCCCACAGCTGGGATTCCCCCTCCTGGTCTCTGACCTTAGAGATCTGACCTCGCTGTCACCCATCAGCTGAGCTCAGCTGCTGCTGAGGCTGGGGAACCTGAGGGGGTGACACTCCCTCTCTGAAGGCTCCAAGGCCTCCTCTAGAAGGTGGGGACTTAAGCCCCCACTTCATGGGGCAGTGGTCAGGGGTAACAAATACACAGAGAATGCTCTTCAAAGCTGCCTTGGTGGACCCACTGTGTGCCAGCACCCAGGAGGCAGGACTCGGGGACTGCGGCCCACAGGGCGGGGCGCCCAGGGGAGGTGGCCACCCAAGGGTGGAGGCACTGCGCCCCAGGGTCTTTGAGTGGATGAAGGGTAGAGGCGACGGTGTGGTCACCACCTCCTTCCCCTGGGCGGGGGAGCCTGTGTCGAGGAGCCCTGCCAGGGAGAGGAGGCAGCGAGCCGGGCAGGAATGTGGGCCGTGTGGGGGAAGTGCCACAGGCATCCAGAGGGGCAGGGACACGCAGTGAGTGAGGAGTTCCTTGGGTTCACCGGTGTCCGTGTGGGAGGGTGTCTGTGTGTCTGTGCATCTGCTGCACCGAGGCAGGGAGAGGCTGCTGCGCCCCCAACTCCTGCCCCACAGGCCCCAGCTCCCCCAAGGTCAAGCTCATCCTTCTCCAGACACTGGCTCTAGCTCCCCTTCTCCCTTCCCTGTCCTGGCCCAAGGGCCTCTGTCCTTCCTGCAGGCCCCTCGGCCTCTGCCCAGCCCTCTGATGTCAGGTGCCTGGGGTCTCTGCCCATCACCCACACATTCTCCCCGACAACCTCGGCCACTCGTGGCCCCGGCTGTCAGGGTGACACTTCTGACCCTCAGTCTCTGACTCCAGCCCAGGCCACAGCCCTGGGCCCCAGATCCCTATCCAACAGCCCCCACCCAGGCTCCTCCCGGGGGTGCCCCTCCAACAGACTCAGTGTGGACACAGCTGCACTCACTGTCCTCCACCCAATGTCACATGTAGCCGCATCCCTGACACCTTCCATCGCACCTGGATAACCCTCAGGACCTGCAGGTGTCCTCCTAGATGTTTCTCAACCTGTTTATTCCCTGCATTCCCACCTCCAAAGCCCAGGTCCCAGCTCGGCCCCAGCTGGAATGACACCTGGGCCACTATACCCACCTCCTCTCTAATTCCCTCTCCCCATCAACCCAGCCTCCACACATCAGCCAGAGGAGCCTTCCCACCCCAGACCCACCAGCTCTGACCTTGCCCTGCCCCGGTGCCCACCCCACCCCCAAGCACCTGTGTAGCCACTTGGACAGTGACACCGAAAGCCGTTGGGCAGGTCTTGGCAGCTGCCTCCACCGAGGCATGGCCCGGAGGCACACTCGTCCACGTCCACGCTGCAGTCGTCCCCTGCAAGAGGCCCAGCCGTGTTCCCACCTGTGCCCTCAGAGCCAGTCTGGACCTGGAAGGGCCCATGTTATAGCTAGAGAGACTGAGGCCCAAAGAGAGGTGCGTGAACCCACCCCTCATCCCTCCGGGAGCATCTGAACACCGGCGGACCTTCTGCCCTGGAAAGGGGTAGGGAGCTCACCCTCAAAGCCTGGAGGGCAGCGGCACAGGAAGCCAGCAGCACGGCGGAAGCTGAAGGCGCCGGGGAAGGCGGCCTGGGCGCCCCCGTAGAGGGCCGGGTCGGAGCGCTGCAGGCATTGGCCCCCGTGCTGGCAGGGGCCTGCCGCACACTCGTCCTCGTCCACCTCACACAGCTCGCCGCTGTAGCCTGGGGACACACACACGTGGACATCAGGTCACAGGGAGTCCTCCGGCTGCAGCACCCTCCCCCCTCAGGCGCCAGCCCAGCCCAGGGTCAGGTTAGGGTAACGGCTCAGAATATGGTCAGGCGTGTTCTGAGAGAGTGACACATCAAAGGGGGTAGGAACGACTCTGGTAGCCTCCGTCAGCTCAGCGGCATCTTCCTGGCATTACCATGAGAGGTGAGCACCTTGCACGTGCCAGGCCGTGGGCCGAGGCCTCGTGGTCATTACACCTTTACTCTCCTCGGAACTACCCTGGGAGCAGGTGCGATGATCGGCCCCATTTTGCAGATCAGAAGCCTGAGGCTTGGAGAAGTTGCAATCACGTGCGCGCGCACAGGGAGGTCCACTGAGGGCGCGTGCGCACCGGATTTCTCCGCCCCAGGCCGCGCCCCGCCCGCCAGCCTACGCATGCGCACGCCTGCGGGCCCCCCCCCCCCCCCCCAAAAACACACACACGCACAGGGAGGCACCTGGCCAGCAGAGGCAGCGGAAGCCTCCGAGGCCCTCGAGGTAGGTGGCGTTGTGCGCGCAGGGCGCCGACGCGCACTCTAGCACCTCCTGCTCGCAGCGCGCGCCCTCGTAGCCCGTGTCCCCGCAGTCGCACCGGAACCTGGAGCAGAGCGAGCGCGCACTCGGCTGCAGCCCCACCGCCTCCCCCGCGTCCCTCCCCCCAGCCCAACCCAGCGTGCGGCCTTCCCGCCTTCGGGCACCCGGCCGTCCACTCACCCGTTGACCAGGTCGTGGCACACGCCCCCGTGCGCGCACGGCTGGCTCTGGCACTCGTCCAGGTCCAGCTGGCAGCTGGCGCCCCCGTAGCCCGGCGCGCACACGCAGCGGTAGGAGCCCACGCCGTCCAGGCACGAGCCCCCGTGCAGGCAGGGCGCCGAGGCGCACTGGTCCACCTCCACCTCGCAGTTCACGCCTGGACGGGCCGAGACACAGACAGAGGCAGGTCACCGAGAGGGAGGGCGACAGAGGCCGAGTCGGGCCTCCTCAAACAGTTCCAGTTACAAGGAGCGGAAGGTGAGGGTCCACGCAGAGAAGGAGTTTCTCGCGCCCCCGGTGGTAACAGGATAGAAACAAGACCGACATCCCTGCTCCCTTGGGCTCACGAGCATCTAGCCAGGAGATGGGTGTTAAGTCAGTGTTAACTACGGGAGGACTGGTTTTTCATGTTGATAAGCTCAACAATGAGAAAGTCCTGGATTCTGGGGAAGCAAGAGCCAGGATCTTAGCCTGGGGGATTGGGAGTCAGGGAGGGCTTCTTGGAAGAAGGGCCTCCTGGAGGACCAGGTGGCTTCATAGACTAGGATGGGGGGCTGTTGGGTTCCAGAGAGACTGTTAGTCAACACCTGCTTGCGGCCGGGCATGATGCCCTATGGCCGCGTGGAAGGTAGGGAGCTAAGGGGAGAGCGGAGGAGGTGAGGCAGGGGTACAGGGAGGCCTGGCCTTGGGGCCAGGTGACACAATCTGGGCTTACCCTAAAGTTGTATGCAGCTGAGTTACCTGCTCCTATCTGCGTTTTAAAAGGCTCACCTGCCGGCTTTGCAAAGTGTAAGGATGGACCCCAGAGAGGAACACGCCCCGGCGGGAGATGCTGAGTAGGGTAAGCGCCTCCTCTGGTCTCCCCTGCATTGTCTTGCTTTTAAAACTGAAAGTCCAAGTCCTGGGAACCCCCTCAGTCCTGGACAACACCCAGAAGACTGGGAGGCCCTTGGGGGAGGAGGCTGTGGAGGTGAAGGGAGGTGGGGAACCCCAGTGTGGAGATGGACTGCTACGTTTGTCATTGTACACTCCAGTGGCCCTACCCCTGCCCCCCACCTGGGATGGGTCCTGGGAAATGATTGGTCATGGGGGCCCGGGGGCCCAGGCGGCTCCTGCAGGAACCTTACCCCCTTCCTGGCTCAGCGAGCACAAAACACAGCCCCTCCTCCCTGTGATCCCGCATGCCTGCCTCCCTGGCCCCGCTCCCACCCTCTGTGCCAGGCAGAGCTAGGCCCAGGCCTGGAATCCCAGCCTCCCCCGCCTGGCTGGGAACGGAAGGAGGAGCAGAGAAATGAGTCACACAGACACTGCACTCGCTCACGTCTCACCTAAAAAGCATTCCCCAGAGCGTGTGCGCACCACACATCCGGGCGCGCACGCACCTGCTGGCACGCACGCACACAGCATTTTAGCACAAAGGCATTCAGGGAGCCTGGACACCGGAAAATACTGAGAGACACACATGACCTCACATACCCAGGCACCGAGGCGCTCAAAGGCTGAGAAAGACACACGGAACCCGCTTCCGGAGTCCATGTTCCTCTGCATGCCGAGACCTACCTCTTCTCTCTAAGCACCCTCCCCTGGAACCCAGCCCCCCCAGTCTGACCCACTGCTCTGAGGTGACCTCAAACTGCCCTCTGCCCTCAGAGAGAGTTGTCTGAATCCAGTGTCTATACTGCAGGCTCCCAGCTGCCCTGGACCTGACCTCTCCCCAGCTGTGTCCTCCTCCCCGGCCTCTAGGCACTCACTCCGTTGCTCTTGCTGGGAGCAGGAATGGGACTGGGACGGGGCTAGCGTTTCCTCAGTGCAGCACTTGGAAATGCATCGTCCACTTCCCACTGGAGACCGCAGAGGCCCCTGGGATTAGTCCCACCGTCCAGTTTGAACAAGACCACCAGTGTCTCTCTGCTGGAGGTTGGGGGGCTACCCAGGGAAGGGGTCCACATTACAACCTGAACCATACCAGGGGTGTTCATACTCTAGAACAGCGGTTCTCAACCTGTGGGTCGCGACCCCTTGGGGTTGAATGACCCTTTCACAGGGGTCGCCTAAGACCATCGGAAAACACATATATAATTACATATTGTTTTTGTGGTTAATCCCTATGCTTTAATTATGTTCAATTTGTAACAATGAAAATACATCCTGCATATCAGATATTTACATGACGATTCATAACAGTAGCAAAATTACAGTTATGACGTAGCAACACAAATAATTTTATGGTTGGGGGTCACCACAACATGAGGAACTGTATTAAAGGGTCACGGCATTAGGAAGGTTGAGAACCACTGCTCTAGAATCATTCGATGAGTGACAGGAAGTCTACACCACAGCCGGACACAGGTCTGGAGCGAGTAGATGTGAGAAATACTAGGTGTGTACTCACTAAGGCCAGTCCAGGCAGATCTGCACTCCAGTCCCACCAGAGATGCCCGAGGGTGTCTCCATACCTAGCACGCGTCGGAACTCTGGAAGGGACTGAGGGAGCGCGTGTGCAGTGCCTTTTCTGTGCCAGGCACCGTACCAGTGCTTACACATCCACGCTCACCCAGAGCTGCCAGGGCAGCCCCAGAAGCGTGGAGACCTAGAGTGGCTGTCCCTGAGAGCTGCCAGGATGCCTGGAAAGGAGGTGGGGGTGTCTCTACTAAAGTCAAAGCCGAGTTGCTGACTTCACACCCTGAGCCAATGGGATGGACATTACAGAACCTCCTCCGGGCACAGCCGGGGCCATTACCTGCATAGTCAAGGGGGCAGTGGCACTCGTATCGATCGGCCAGGTTGCGGCAGGTGGCCCCGTGGTGGCAGGGCCGGGAGGCACACTCATCGATGTCCAACTCACAGCGGGGGCCCTGGAACCCGGGCACACAGTAACAGCGGAAGTCGTTAGGACCTGGACCCTGGGGCACACACAGCGCGCCGTGGTAGCAGGGCTGGGTGGCACAGCCCTGGGGCTCGGTGGGCCCGCAGGTGTAGCCGCTCTCCGTAGCCTGGCACTGGGTCCCTGGAGAGCATGGGTCTGAGGCACAGGCACTCCGAGCCTCTGAAGGCTCTGTTCCTGTAGAGAGAGGAGACAGGGTGGGCAGGGGCTACCGGGCACTCCCCTCCCCACACTCGCCCTGGTCCCTGGAGACAGAAAACCGCAGGGTCTGTCCACACTCGGTAGGGTGGAGAAGGGGCCAGTGGCTCTACAAAGCAGGTCCCAACAGGCTGCACACAGCCACACCGGGACTGGGAGTAGTTCCGGAGCCTCCATGGCAGAAAATGGGACCTGGGACGCTACTGCGCTCAGGATTGGCGAGCAGGCAGCCATCCCAGGAGCTTGCTCTCCATCCCCTCGCATCCCTGCAGCGCCCCTTTGAGGCAGGCTCTGTCGTGCCCATTTCACGAGAGCAGATTGAGGCTCAAGAGAGAAAGTGAGGACTTGCCAGAGGCCATCGCACAGCAAGTTAGTGCTGGGACAGCTTTCCAGGCCTTCCCGCCGGGGTCAGCCCCACTGGGGTGGGCGTCTCCTGTCCATGGCCCATTCCCTCCCAGAGGGCCCAGGTCAGAGCTCTCCCCACTGCCCCCTCCGCCACTCCTGCTGGGGGTCTGGTAACTCCATCCCTGCGTGAAATTGAGTGAAATTGAAGATGGAGGACTTCAAAGGCCCTTCTTTCCCCCCCTCCCCCTCTTCCCAGCCCACCCCACTGCTCTGGGAACTTCTCATGGGATCCCTGGCCCTCATTGTACCCCCATCAGCAAATGCTTGAGCAGCAGCCTGGCCGCTGTGCTGCCTGCACTGAGCTCCCTGTTAGAGGATCACCTACTGATCCGGAAGCCAAGCCAGGTAGAGAGCCAGCCTCCCTCCCCCCCCCTCCCTCCCAGCCTGTCAGCCTGTCAGTATAATTCTGGAGTAAGGACAGTAAGAACTCGGACCTTGGAGTAAAACAGCCTGGGTTAGATCCCAGCGCAATTACTAGCTCTGGGACGGTGGGCAAGTCGTTCCTCCCAGGGAGCTGCATCTCCCAGTCCGAAAGGGGGTGCTGACAGTCCGTGCCTCAGGGTGTGATAGGATCAGAGCCTCCGGGACTGCAGCCAATCCCCGCTTGTAGGAACTCGGTAAGTGATGGGGGAGGGGGAGTCGCCCATAAGAAAGGAGGCACCCCCTCCCCCACCTGGGGTTCTGAGAGGTGCCCCTTCCCTGGCCAAGTTGTCATCCAGACACTAACCAGGCCCTGCGCCTCCCCTCCCCCACCCGGGTGAAGACCCCCAGATAAGGCTCCGCAGCCTCTCAGGCGTCATCCACATTCCACAAGGCAAGGCTGTCCACGGGCCGACCCCCACCCTTCCCAGCCAGGGCCAAGCAGGATGGGGGACAGGGAGACGGGAATACTGACCAATAAATAGACGCAGGGAGAGGATCCCGCTGCCACCCCCACTCGGAGCACCCAGAGCGCCTGGTACAGCTCAACATGGGCTCACTCACTCCCAGCCCCAAATTGGGAGTCCCACCAGGGCCAGGCTAGTGGCAGAGGGGCAGAGGGTCTCAAATGCTGTCAGACCAGATGACTTTCTAGGGCCACGGGGTCCACAGACCCCCTCTGCCCACTGTTCCTCTCCCCAGCTCAGAGCATCCATCCCCACCCCCCTCGCCTGGTCACAGGGGTGAGGGCAGGGGGTATTTGGGCCTCTCTCGGGAGCTTATGGGCAGCCCATCTTTTTCCCATTCCAAGTGGCTGTGGCTGATCCCTTTAGGAGCCAGTCCCCAGGGCTAGATGCTGTGATGGAGGCGGGAAGGTGATCTGAAGGGGGTGGGAGTGAGTTCAGCTCCCTCATGGAAGGAACGGGGTTGGCATCAGACAGACCCGGCTTGGATCAGGGTGCTGACAGGGCCCACCTCATAGGGTGTTGTAAGGAGCCACCGCAGTGACATGGGTGAAGCCCTGGCACCCAGTGGCCCCTCAGTGAGGGCTCCGGCCATTATGATCAGGGTCCCTTGACCCAGGCTCGCTCGGGAGGGGGAGCGCAGCAATCAGAGGGCCCAGGTGAAGGGCTCTGGCTGCTGGGCCTGTACCATTTCATTCCAGCAAGATGCCACCCTCCTCCGTGCGGCCCCGGGGGGTCCCACCCCAACCTGGAGCTGTACCCTTTCAGAGCAGAGGGGACCAGGCCGGGCATGCAGCACCTGGGGGAGTGGGAAGGTGGGAGCAGGTGGGCTGTGGCCCTGAATGACAGAGCCCCGCACCTGGGGGAAGGAGTTCACACCTGGGGGAAGGAGTTCGCCCTGTCAGAGCCCCGCAGAGAGGGAGGGAGCTGTCTGTCCCGGGAGGCGTGCAATAGCGCCACTAGCCTGCCCACCAGGGGCGGCCGTATCTCGTGTGTAATCTGTGAATCTGCGTGTTTACTGAGGAGTTGGGTAGTGCTATTGCTTCTGTTCCACGGTGGAGGAAAGAGGCTCAGAGATGAGGCCCAGTCCCGCAGCCCAGGAGGGGCTGGAATGCAAGCCCAGCTCTCCCTGCTGCGGAGCCTCCACTGGTTCCAGAGCCCCGCCCCCGCCGCCGGTGTGAGGATTCCCATTCCTGGGCCTCGCTCCGACCTAGAGATTCCCACCCCTGGGCCCCGGGCCCCAGAATCTGCATTGCAGCTGCTCCCAGGGAGTCCCTTGTGCAGTGGGGCTGGGGACTGCTGACCTCGGTTCTGTCTCCCAGGAGCCAGCCGGGGAGGCCAGGCCCGCCCAGGGCGGAGGGGAGGAGAGGTAAGGACCCAGGGCAGAGGGAGGGGCCGTCCCAGGGGCCCGGCAGGAGGGGCGGGGCCTGTTGCCAGGGTAACGAGGGGCCTGTGCTTATCTTTACAAATCCCTGCTGACCTCTAAGGCCGCCTGGGACGACCTGCAGGGGACGGATTAAACTGACATTGCCCCTCCCCTCGGACCGGCTGCCCAGCCCTGGGAAGGCCCAGAAGGGAAATTCTCCGCGGACAGGGCGGGATTACAATAACAGCAGCCATTTACTGAGTGTGTACTATGTGCTCTGGTCTGTGCTCCACATCTCGCATCTATGACCACGTTATTATAGTGCTGTAAGCTCCAGCGGTTCTCAACCTGTGGGTCGCGACCCCTTTGGCGGTGAACCACACCCTTTCACAGGGGTCGCCTAAGACCATCCTGCATATCAGGTATTTACATTGCGATTCATAACAGTAGCAACATTACAGTGATGAAGTAGCAACGAAAATAATTTTATGGTTGGGTCACAACATGAGGAACTGTATTTAAAGGGCCAGAAGGTTGAGAACCACTAGGCATGGGTGCTGTTAAGAGAACTGTTTTTTCTGACTCAGAGGTTGTAAACTTGCCCAGGACCATCGCTCAAAAAACTGAGAACAGATGTCTCAGACTTGGGAGAGGCCCACATCTCCCGGGCATGCGAAATTCCCCTGGGCAGACTCTGCATTGCCACCCTGTACTCCCCGGGCACTGGACGGGGTCTCTATGCACAAGCGTAAGAATGGAGGTTCGGCCCCCGCCAGGGGCTCAGGTGGTTGGAGCACCCTCCAGTACACAAAAAGGTTGTGGGTTCAATAGCCAGTCATTTCAGGGGAGGGGGTCAACCTATTGAAGTTTTCACATCACTGTTTCTCTTTCCCTTCCTCTCTCCATAAAAATCAATAAAAACATATCCTCGGGGAAGGATTTAAAAAAAGAAAAAAGAATGGAGGTTCCAGGATGTGCCTGGGAGAGCGGGCAGTCCTGGGTGTCTGTCCAGAACCTGGCCGTTAGCAGGCCTCCTGGGCTCCGGCCTCCCTCAGTGCTTAGTGACTCCTGCTCGCTGGGCACTTCTCACAGGCCTGGTGGAAACTGCCAGCCACAATGAGAACTGTTTCTGGGGCGTGGATTTTGGGAAGTGTCTAGTCTGGACAAAGGGAGAGACTATCTTTAAGATGTGACCCAATGACTTTAGGTGTTGGGCACACAATGCAATATACAGATGATCTATCATAGACTTGCACACTTGACATGTACGTAAATTTATTAACTAGTCAGTTGGTTGGAGTATCCCCCCGCACACTGAAAGGCTGAGGGTTGGATTCCCCATCAGGGCACATACCCAGGTTTGATCCCCCGTCAGGGTATGTATGGGAGGCAAGCAATAGACGTGTCTCTCTCCCTCTCCCTCTCCCTTCCCATCTCTAAAATCAATAAAAACATATCCTTGGGTGAGGATTAAAAAAATAATAAGTAGATTTCATCTGAAAGTCAAAAGGAAAAACATTTTAAGAAGAAGCGGCCCAGGATCTCAGGTGCAGAGCTCCTGGCAGTAGGGCCCTGTTCATCTCACATCAGTGGCCCCAAGCCTGGGACCCAGTAACAAAGCTGGAATCCCGGAGGTTAAAAGGCATAATTCTGGTAACAGTAACCACAACAATAACTAGGGGATTCTCGTCCTCTCCCCCCGTTCCTGGCACTGGCACATCCCGGAGTTTCCAAACCGTGGTCTCAGAGCACTAGGCATCCAACATGCTCAGGCCTGCAGTGCCCCCACCCCCAGCTTTCAGGGATCCCCAGGGAGGCGCTCCCCGTAGGGAGGGTCCCACAGAGCAGGAGGGGCTCCGGCCTGCCGCCCACCAGGCCACCTGTAATTATTTCACCTTTAACTACGGTGGCTTCTGGTTCAGTCTAA